GCCTGTCCCCAAAGGCGGTTTTTAGGGGGTATCACTTAGGGTCCCCGGTAGGACAGTGAGTCCCCCATAACCACGATAGACCGGCTATCGTGGTATGCGTAATGCATTTTCCGCCTCCCTACGTATAGGGTAGCAGTTTAATTGCTTCGGGCGCAAAAAAAAAAAAAAAAGTCGTTCGACACAGTCGGCGGCCAGCTTTCTCAAGGAAAACATCAAATATAGAAGAAAGAAAAAAGTGTCAGTGTTTTATTCTCCACCAACCCAGCATACAAATGTGCTTGTAGGGCACAGAATGTATTTTTTTTTATGTTTTATGTTTTTGTTTTGTTTGTTAATGTTTTTGTTTGTTAAAATGACATATAAATAATATATATTAAAATATTCTTTCTTTTATCTATAGTATAGTGTCACAATTACAAATTTACAATTTATTTTTCATCTATTGAGGATACCAAATACTCCATTTTGTAGAGCATTTAAAACCATTAAAATTTAATATGATCATTATTACGATAATTTTCATAGTTTCTGAGTTATGCCCCAAAATGTGAAAAATAAAGTTCGAGCAATTTTTAAACACATTTTTCTCGACAATTTGTATTTTGGAATTATGATGCTATTTGAGTGGAGGTGCGATATAATTTTCTATGCCAAGTTCAAAATATACATTTTAAAATCTGCATGCCTAAAACTATTTTCCGTAATTGCATAACAATCCGTTCAGCTGCTTAAAATATTTATATTATAGGAGTTATAATATTTAGGATAAGTCTTACATTAGACACTTTAATAGTTTCCATGTGAAATAAAGTAATACATTTATTGTAATGATTAATTTCAGAATATAGAACAGTCCAGTGAAGCAACTGCACAGCCAAAGTTAAGAGTGCCACTGTCTGAAATTGAAAATATTGTAGTGAAACCTTGTACCAGTGCAAAGTCATCAACACAAACTTTAGTGGATGTCGCAAGAACAACTGGATTCATTGACAGCGTGCAGGTAATACATTTTCGATTTTTTGTTTTACATATTATATCTTTTTAAATAATAAGATAGAGAGGAGTACTAAATATGTGATTCTAGTATTTATGTGTTTGTGTGAACTATGATACTTTCACTGTACTTTTTTTAACAAATTCTTTTACATTAATAATATTTTACATATTAATGGCTGTAGTAGGTCATACGGATAATTTATTTTGGCTTCAAATTAAGATTTTAATATTCAAACAAATTTGTGATCATACATAAGATATTTATTACCAACTGACAAATACCTTACAATTTTAAATTATGTGAGTGCTGGTATCGGTCCCTAAGAGTGAATATTTATAATTTCAGAATGAACTCAATGTGGCAACCTGTAGCAAGTCAAATTTGACCAAAAAACGTACTAAAATCCTAGCTAACCTAGGTGTCACAAAAGTAAGCCAAATGACACCAAGAGAAATAAAATTATATAAAATATGCAAAAATAAGATGTATGAGATAATACGATTACGTAACAAAATTAAGAATATTAAGAGAGGGAAGATAGAGAGAGTTTTAGGAGATCACCATGTTGAAGAATTGAGTAATTTAAATATTAGCAATTCAGTCATAACTTTATTGCAAAGCCAATTACAAAATTGCCCAAAAAAACCAAAAGGGAGAAGATATACTTTACAACAAAAAAATTCAGGCTTTGTTAATTTATAAAAAGTCCCCAGCCTGTTACAGATTACTGAAGAGAATGTTTGCTTTACCTTGTCAAACAAGTTTAAATCAACTCCCATATATTTACCTCATTAGAAAAAATGAGCCGGAACCAGGATAAAGAAGACAATATTTGTATTTTATCGTTTGATGAAATGTCTATAAGAAGACATTTGTATTACAATCAAAAGCTGGATGAAATACAAGGATTTCAAGACCATGGCAACCATGGTAGGACTGAAGATGTTGCCTCTAAGGCACTGGTATTTATGCTCACTGGGTTGAGAAAGAAGTGGAAACAGCCCATCGCATTTTATTTCTCCCATACAATAAAGGCAGATAGAATGACAATAATTTTAAAAGAGGTAAAGTATAGTATACTTTTTTTGTAACTTTTATTACAAGACTGAAAAATATGTATGTGTATGCTTGTTTCTTCTTTTCAGATACTTACAGAATGCATTGCAGCAAAGATGAATGTGGTTGCTACTGTCTGCGATTTATCAGCTGTGAATTTGAAAGTTTTTAAAATATTAGGTGCAACATCAACTGCACCTTTTTTTTAATTTCTGTGGACAGGAAATTGTGTCTATACTAGATCAAAAATAGATAAGAAAAAAAAAACACATAAAAATTTAAAAAAAAAACAAAAAAAAAATGGAGCCACATTGAAGCATTTTATCAGTTGGACAAAACCAACCCCAATTTAGTTTATGCTCCTCAACTGACAGATAATCATTTGCGTCCAAATTGTCAGCAGAAAATGAGAGTAAAATTAGCAGCACAAGTGTTTAGCCACTCTGTTACAACTGGCATGTTAATGAAAATTGCTCAAAGTAAGTGAATTTATATAAATTGTGCAGCTGACTGGGAATCGGTATTGACTGTGAGATATATATCTCACAGTCAATACTGATTCCCAGTCAGCTGCACCTTAACCTATTGAAATTTGAGCCAAACACTGTCACTGTGGGTTAAGGTGGGGTAGTGCCATGAACATATGTATTTTTCAGTGAAAAGTACCTTTGACAGTTAGAGATATTTAAAGAATTTTGACTGTAACAAATAGATACATTAGTAATTAAGTTTGAATTTTGTCACAGACTGCTAACTTTGTACCCTGCTGAACTGTACTGAAGACTTGGGTTTTATATATACATTGTCGATAGTAATATGAATGTGAGCAAGTTTGCCTACATGTTATTTAACAACAGAAATAAACAAAACTACCATTACAACAGCTTGACTTTCTGAGAATCAAGTGAAATCACAACCACGTGGTAGAGCCATGCTGCAGCTATATTAGTAGTATAGTTGTAGCACAAATGGGTCGGCACGACCGGGGAAGAACCACGCTCTCATAGAATATCAGCTTAAAATAGAAGCTTAACACTGCTGTGTTTCATATGGTGAGTGTAGATAACCAGAGACCCCTTTTACTGGAAATGAGGCATTCCATCTTAGTCCTCACGGGTGACAATGTATCTGCATTTTGATTTGCAAACGAGGATAAATGTAGATGTCTATGGGCCACAGCAACCACTTACCATCAGGTGAACTGTGTGCTTGTTTGTCACCCTATGCTATAAAAAAAAGAAACTTAGGATGAGTTAGTTGACATCTAGTGTATAATGATATTAATCAAAATATATATATTAATGAAAGCTCCTTGAAGTGAAATATTTTTCCTTTAAATGAAAATATAACTAATTAAACATTGTTTTTTTTTTTCTTCAGATGAACTTCCGGCCGAAGCCCATGTGACAGCAACTTTCGTGCAAAAGTTTGACGAGCTGTTTGATGCTGTCAATGCAGACTGTCCAGATTTGAGAAGAGGAAAAAAATACTCGACAAACTTAAATAAAAAGACTCCTCATTTAGCTTTATTTAAGGGTATGAGAGAGTTCATATCGAATATGAAATATATAGGGAGTAAATCAGATCCTCTTTCCCAAGAAGGATGGATTCACACCCTTAATGCTATAGAAAGATTGTGGAAAAATTTGCAGGCTATAGGCATTAAGAGTCTTCCCACACGTCGCCTAAATCAAGATCCATTAGAAAATTGTTTTGGCTGCATAAGATACAGCTGTGGATCTAATAATAATCCTACAATAAACCAATTTATAGCTGGTATTAAAACTGCCATAATTTCAAATTTAAAACATTCAGGGCATAAAAGAAATTGTGAAGATGACACAGCAATTATTTCAAATAATTTGTCAAACTTTTTAACTCCAAATATCTCTCCAATTGTTAAATCACCAACTCTTCAGTTTGATGACACTTAAGAGATGGAAAATTTATTATTTGATGCAGTTGAAGCAGTAGAGCAGGGGACATCCGAAAGTCAAGCATGTGGATATGTGTGTGGTTTCATATTTAAAAAATTAAGGCACAGTAACTGTCTGGATTGCCGAAAAGCATTTTTGTCAGATACACAAGAAATCATACACATGTTCACAAATTTTAAAGAATATGACCCTGCTCAGAACTCTTTAAATTATGTGGGTAAAGATATGGTGACGTGTGTAGAAATGATGGCAAATATAATAAATACATACTTAAAAGCAAATGCCTATAGGATAGAAGTAAAAGTTAACATATTCAGTGCATTGGAATGTGTAGATTATAATTTTCTAAAAAAATGTATCCATCATTTAGTATTGAATGAAAACCATTTAAAAGTAAGTACATTTTTTATAATAACTAAAAGATATTGTGTTTTAAGAAACAGAGATATGGACGACGAAGAGAAAAAGAAAACTCTTGAACGCAAAATGAGAATTTTAAAAAATAAATGATAATACATTATTTGTTGTTTCAATTACTCACACAATTTGAAAATAAATGTACTATAAGAACTTGAAGCAGGACTTTTTAATAATATGGAGCAAGATTTATCATAGCTATTAAATAATAATATAAAGACTCCATACTATTATGAATCATGCTTCATGTTCTTGCACTACTTATTAATTCAATTATTGCGTAATGCAATATCCTTTTTGAAAGTTCCCGCGTATTTTGTTTTAATTGCTATTCCGCAATGGCGCCAGCGTCGTGTAGGTGTGTTGGCTGTGGTTGGCCTTTTTTTACTATAGAGATGTTTTTCTTCTCTCGTTAGAGAGTAGTATGTTCCTTGGTTGTGAACACTCTCAGAAAGTGCGTAGAGTCGAGCTTTGATCTCCTCCGCCTTGTTGTGCTGTGGTGACTTCGCCCCGATTTTGAATTGTGTTGGACAATATCGCGAAAGGACGCTTGTTTTTGTGTTGTGTTTTACACGTACATAATTTTGTTCAAAATGCCTAAATTGTGCTCGTTTGGGTGTGCCCCTAATGGTGAGTATATTTCATATTCAGTACTTAATAAAGGTAATAAATACGTGATAAAAACTTTTTCAGTCAGCAAGGTAGTCGTGAGGATGGCTGCCCGGGTTCACTGAAGCATTGGACGTACAAAGCCATTATTTTAGTCATACTACCCTCATCATTTTCCTCTTTACCATCTAATTATAAAATTCGAATAACCTATTGAAGAAGTGGAGTAACAGCATGAACAGCGTGCAAACTGCAAATCGGATTTTAGATTAGTTTTGATATATCTAACGCATGCCTAACCACCAATCATCCAGATGGTACGGATGGTATATTATACGCTCATGCCCACTGCAAATAATAATGTATGTTCAAGTAATTTATACTCCTTTTTATTTCATTTCAGGTTCCTCAATTCATTTTTTCCCAAATGCTTTTAAGTTCCCTGAGTGTTTTAAAGCTTGGGTCACTCTTGTTGGTGGAAAACTGGAATCAGCTTCTGATTATGAGTATTACCAGAAGAAGTTGATTTGTGACATACATTTTACTCCAGAAGACCGAGTTCAGAATAACCGGTTAAAGGCATATGCAATTCCATCACTTTATTTACATGGTATGTATAGGTACATGTTTTACATTATTTATTGAAGTAATTATTGGTTGCTGTGATTGAACTTGAGGCCCAGCCTTTTACATTTTCCTGGACAATAACATTATCATTTTTGAATTACTGTTCAGAAACACCCAATAACAGCCCAGTACATGAAGTTGATTGCAATATACATTTTGATTTGAGTGATTTACTTTTATCTGCTTTACTGCTCTCAACTATTTAACCCTTCTTTGCATGATGATGGAAATTTTAATCATAATATTTATTCAACAAAAAAAGGTACTCAAAACCCTTGTACTGTAAATTGGTTGTTGCTGGCAACTTTTTAAGCGCCTATAGCGTACATCAAAATGCAGTTGTCAAAAAATAGTAAACGTCACTGTCAATTACCAGGCTTAGAACTTGTCATTCCGCTGTTTGTTGTAACTGGAAGAAACAAGTGATATTTTAAATTGTTTTAAGGAAATAAACGGGGATATAAAATACAAGAAAAGTGAACATGAGTGGAAAAGAGGTTTGTTTTCATGTTTTTGTTATTTTATGTACAATTTATATCAAAACACTGTGAATACATTTCTCAAAACTATGTGATGGAAATTTACATCACTGTGCAGTAACTTCACTTGTAATGTATGGCAATTTTTTTTGTAAGTGTTTATTTTATGTTTTTTTTTTCAGGGAAACTTGAATGAAAGAGATATTGAAGATTATCTTAGTAAGTTAGAAGGCGGTTGGCTCTCAGAAGACGGCCTTGATGACCAAGATTCCGATGATGAAAACCGCGATGCTGATGAAGTTATAAGAGTGATGCAGGAGGAGAACAAGATGATGACGTGGATGAAACTGCTGACATTGATCCTCCTCTTGTAGAACCAGAAGATCAAGAATCCTCTCACCCATCAACATCATCCAATTTGCAGTCTTCATCCAGTTTTCCATTTGACAAAAGAAGCTTGATTTGGAAAAAAAGGGAATCTGGTGTATGATACAGATAAAATTACTTTCTTGGGGAGTTCTACTGCTTCAGGCGGTCTATCACACCTAGAAACTCCATATCAATGTTTTTGTTCGCGACGGCCTAACAACCTTAAGAAACAAAGTTATAAAAATATTGTTTTTTGTATTAACAATGAAATTACCGATAAAACTGACTGAAAACGTGTATTAATATAGTTATTTAGCATATTTATAACTCTCAATATGTTTGTATAGAATGTCGTTTTGATAACAAGTAATATAAACAACTTTTATTATATACCAAAAAATCGACCAATCACAGCGCGTCTTATCGTGGAACTCTCTAGAAGTTTTTAATTAACTGCGTAATAGATCTTACTAAAAATAATGAAAATAATTTTATGTCCTAAAAGAGTTATAAATATGACATTGAATTAGCATATGGCTTATAGATTAAGAAAGTGTAGGAATACTTTGTATAATTAAACGCATTTCGTAGTTATAGAAAAATTAAAGAATTAAAATGCCCAAATATTATGAAAATTTGGGACATTTCGTTTAATAACTTTTTACAATGTTAATGTTTTTAGTAACCTTTATGATATACTAATAAAGTATCAGACTACCGATTTAACGATGTATAGCATGTTAGTGTAGCAATTAGTTTTGTATAGAGAATATTGCAATTTATGCCATTTGTATAGTGAAATGTTTATGCAATAAAGAGGCAAAACGGAAAATGGCAAGCGGCTCACTGTAAAGTATTGCTAAAGTCTACCTTAGGGGCTCGGGACCCAGTATCCGTAGTAGTGTGAAGAACTACCAGTGACAAGTGAAGTGAAGTGAGTGGTATCCGGTGGTAGCTGAAGTGACTAGTAGCAGTATATAGTGAATAGTGATAGTGTTAGCTAGCCGAAAAAGGTCGTAACTGATATTCGCAGTTACACATAGTGAAAGTGTTAGCAAGCCTAAAAAGGTCGTAACTGATATTCGCAGTTACATATAGTGAAAGTGTTAGCTAGCCTAAAAAGGTCGTAACTGATATTCGCAGTTACATATAGTGAAAGTGGTAACTGATATCCGCAGTTACACAAGTGATAAAATCAGCTAGTTTAGTTGATAATAGCTGCTAGTCAGTAGTGTTAGAAAACCAGCTACTACCAATAGATATTTGATACCACCGTACAATTTAAAGAAATCTTTTGAAATATATAGTGACCAACCAATAGTGAACAACCGTAGTTTAACAACGGTGATCAATAGTTATAAAATTTTCGCGACTAATCAATCAGTCGAACCGCTGGCCACTACCTTGCTATTTGTATTTATTAATCATGCATTTTGATTTTAACCACAGTCCACAATATTTCAGCGGTAACCACAAAGACGGCGCACATAGGAGTATTACACATTAAAAACCGGACAAAATTATTTTATATTTTATTTTACTATTTTATGAAATAAAGGTCAATAATTCATCATAGTTAAGCATTTATTTAAAAAGAAAAACAATTAAAAAAAGAATTACAAATCTAAGGGAGTATTTACTCTTAAAACAGGATTTGTTTTCAAGAGGATAATTATGAGGAGACCGAATCAATCAGAATCACTGTCTCCGAGTTCACAGGTGATTTGGTCCTCATAATCTTCGTCATTGGAACTGTCACAATTCAGTGTTTTCGTGAGAAGCATACTAATAGCTTCCTGGGAAAAAGACTTGCTTTTCTTCTTCCGTTTTATTCTGTTGCAGCTGATGAAAGGATCGGATGTCAGCAACAACCTATTTAAAATATCTGTGTTGCAGTCCACTCTAGAAAATTTTCTTGCAAAGTCTACGCGATATTTACGGAAATGTTTGTTCCGGGCTTCAGCAGCCTCCTCTGATAGCTGTCCGATAGGTACAATGTGACTTGATATTACTTGAGCGCCATGCATCAGAATCTTGTGAACTGTAGGTGACATGGGATGCCAACCATATAGTTCCACGTACAGTTTGGCAGTTGTGTGAGCAAAGTCATCGAATTTCGCAGGATCAATATCATATCCACTTGATATCACTTCAAGAATGATTTGGAACCTTTTTTATCAAATCTATATTTATTCCAGTAATCCGAGATGAGCATTCAGGATTGTCAAAAAATCTTCTCGACGTATTTCCGTCGTTACTATTGCCGTAACCGACTTTGGGTATATCAACAAGAAGGCCCATCTCTTCTTTGAAGCTTTTTTGTATTTTCTGTTTTGTTTCTTTCAAAATATTTTTGTCTTCTGCCGTTCGGGCTTGCCACTTCTGTAAGGGCGCTTTGTACGCCAGGTGCAACAATAGCTCGAAGAAACGAATTCTCGCGTGCAGAATGGATAGTCCAAATTTTAGAGACTCTTCACAAACATTACCTATTTCAAGTTTATTGAAGTCCTTAGATGTTTGTCCACATATGTAGCATCTCATTGTTGAAGCCGTATCAGTCGCGGCATTGCACACCTTTCCATCGACCATTGTGAGCAAAATGTTGTGATTTATTTTAACCGAAACTTCCATACCAGTAGTTTCTTTGAGATTCCTTGCTTGTTCTTCAATATAGGTGATTTCTTCCTTTGTGATATCCTTTGTTTCGTGAATGAACCGAGCCCGGATAGGACGACAGAATCTCACCGAAGAAGGCACTGGATTTTGCCATATAATTTTTCTTGTCTCTCCATTAATAGAAACAATCATTCTCACAGGTACAAGAGAACTTAAAAATATATTGGCATCATCGTCACCAGTATTGGAAAATGTCTGCTTAAACTGTGTCTGATTAGATCCATCACAGCCCCATTTTGATATTAAGGTAAGATGTTGTTTCTCCAACTCTGATAATGTTCCAATCACTTCTTTTAAATACTGAAGTAGTCGCAAAGCCGTGTGGTCCAGCAAAGCTTGAAGTTCCACTTCGAAGCTAGTTTCAGTAACTTTTATGCTATCTTCGGCGGGATAACACTCCTTTTTCGCTTTTTGTAAAAGCGAATAGCAAGGATAAATTTCTTTTCGGCCACCTTGTAATAATTCCCACTGCCCTCTTGTAAAATTACCTTCTACAAATAACGCTAATGCTTCTTGTGGTGTGTATTTTCTCGCAATTGGTACGTTTTTAGCTGACGATATTGCTTTTCGGAACATTTTAGCTCTGGTTGGCGTTGACGTTATTTCTTTTATAATCTTAGACGCATCAATATTTCCCGAAGTACCTTGACTCACTCTTGCAGCGTACGTCAATTCCTCAACAGGTACCCGGTCCCGTAAATCTTGTGTTCTTCGACGCTTGCTTCGATCACACAATTCTCTGAATTCTTTTGTTGGTCGGCCTGCTTTGTGGGTCCAAGTAGGTAGTTCCAGTGATACATTAAGCCATTCCATATTGTTTTTTACGAATCTCTTATCAGTATTACGGGCTGCCGACCATCTTTCTTTGAAACTGGTCTTGAAATATTTTAAATAACGGGTAAGAACCGTTGTTTCTTTGGGTGGACATGAAGTTAGTTGCACAAGTCTTTCTTCCAACAGCGAAAATTTTTCTTCAATCTTCTTTCCTTTGAACTCTTTGATAATAGTATAAAGCTCCATTCTGGAGATTTTTTTCACTCTTTCCGAAGGATCTATGACAAAAGAAAACAAAAAAATTAGCTTTGTCAATATAATTATAATCTTCCCCATATAGTTTGAAGTGCTATAAAAAAATATGGGGTACGTTGGGGGGGACTTTTTATTCATGTTTCTACTTCCTTAGAGTCTACATTTTATGCCTACATATAAATTTTGAGGCGACAAGGCGCGACACATAAACAAAAACACTAATTTATTTCAAATTTCTTTAAAAAACCATAAAAAAAGTTCCGCTGTTTATTGATGGCTATACAAGTAGAAATTTGGAAGAAACATAATAAAATATACTTCAGCATATAGTACTAACCTTCTATTTCCATGTCCGAATAGTTAATCTCCTGCTGTTTGCTATACGAAGCCATTTTATCACAGTAAACTGATTAACACAAACGAGAGCGCCGAGAACATAGACACGCGTACACTACGATGACTGGGTTCCGACTGACGCTGTAGCCACATGCGTGGGAGTTGAGGGTTGGGGGTCTGCCTTTTAATAAGCCGGTTATCGTAGGTAAAGAAAAATGTATTTTGGATGCGGTTGGATTAACATCACTATTTTCAATTTTGCCCCGTTTTTTATGTGTAATACTCCTGTGTGCGGCGGTGAGAGTACCCACCGGAACCTATAGGTGTAGGACGTGAGCGACTCGCGAAGTATCTTCGACAACATTTACTCCGGAGAGTTTCGCCCGTCCGGCACAGTTTTAACCATTTTATCACTAAAGATTTTATCAAAACATTAGTAGAGGAGACAAATTTATATATAATACAGAGTAATCCCAGTTCATCTATAACATTTACAGAATATGATTTGTATAAATTCTTGGGTATATTATTATACATGTCAGTAATCAAATTTCCTAGCACAAGATCATACTGGTCGCCCAAGTTTGGATATGAGCCCATTTCTTCAACAATGCCACTAAACAAGTTTGAAAAAATAAAGTTATCATTACATTTTAATAACAATGATCTTCACAAACCTATAGGTCATCCAGAACATGACAGGCTTTATAAAATCCGCCCTGTTATCAAGCATCACAATGAGAGGTTTGCCACAGTGCCAATGAATCAAAGACTTTCTGTGGATGAACAGATGTGTTCTACCAAAATAGGGCATTTTTTAAAACAGTATCTGCCTAAGAAGCCCCATAAATGGGGCTTCAAATTGTATGTTCTCTGTGATTTGATGGGATATGCCCACAAGTTTGAGGTATATTCTGGACAAGAGAATACAGAGAAACTCCCAGATGAACCAGATCTTGGTGCAACAGGAAATGTTGTAGTTCGTTTGCTTCGAGGAGTGCCAAGAAACCGAAACCACATCATATACTTTGTTAATTTTTATACCTCTTTGCCACTGGTAGTTTTTTTAGCTAAATCAGGAATTCACACAATGGGAACTGTGCAACAAAACAGGATACCAAATAATAAACTTCCAGAGAAGAAAAATTTCATGAAAAAAATCTGTGCCCAGAGGTAGTTTTGAGGAAAGAGTGTCTGTGCATGATGGTATAGATTTGAGTGGTGTGTCTTGGAAAGATAATAAGATAGTAACCCTGTTATCTTCTTATTCTGGAGCATTGCCTCTAACTAAAGTCAATAGATTTGACAGGACAACAAAAGAAAAAAATTGATATTACTTGCCCGTTTATTGTACAAGAGTACAATAAACATATGGGAGGAGTAGATCTCATGGATAGCTTTTTGGGCAGAAATCATATAAAAATGAGGTCAAAAAATTGGTATTTGCGTATTTTTTTTTCATCTATTTGATCTAGCTATTATAAACTCTTGGATTATTTATAAAAAAATGTTCAAGGAAGAGGTGAACCTAAAAAGAGTTTGCTTACAATGGGCCAATTCAGAAATGAATTGGCCTTTGTGCTGTAATGTTGGGAGGTTCGAGGAATAAATTAAACGTCTAGCGGTCGTGAATGTAGGTTTATTACTAACTCTAAATGTCTATTAGGCTATCATATATATAGCTACATGAGCATACACTAAACACACACTACACGCCCATCGGCAAAAAAGAAAAAAAATTGAATTACAAAAATTTTTTTTTCAATAAAACAAAACTTGGTGTAAGATTCAAAAAAATTATTAATTATTTAAAAATATTAAAATTCCTATCCTATATCAAACTTATAACATAATAAAATAAAAATAAAATATCGTAAACACTGTAATTTGAAAAAAAAAATAACTTTCTATCTCTTTATTTAAATTTATTAAACTGTAATCAAATTTAAGTTTAATCTAAGTTTTTGTTTTAAATTGCTTTTAGGTTGCCTATCATAACTGCATAACATTTAAAATTTTCATATATAACTATTAATTCACTAGACACGAAAATACAGTTAAAAAAAATAAAGTTATCAAAATTATTATAAGGCGTATATAAGGTTGTTTACAATATTATTATTTTCTTAAACTTAAACTATATTTTTAAATTTAAACCTTAAGATACTTTAAAGGTAAAAAAACCAATTCCATTAAAATAGTAAGTATCCTTATTTTTAAGTAGATAAACTTCAACATACTTATTTAAATCACACTGTAGTGTGAGTGTATAAACATTACTAGCACTATGCTTACTTAAGGGCCCTACTAAATCTAAATAAACTATATCAAAGCGGAATATCCCGTATCGGTTATAACTTATAACCATTGGTTGCTTTATATATTTATTTAAGTGTTTATATCGCAAACACTTGTCTCATCGATTTACATAATTAGTAGGATGTTACTAATTATGTATATTATATAGTCTCTAACTCTGGTCAAAAGAACCTTTTCTTTGTATTGTTTATCATTCGCCTATACGCGCGTGACCGTTAGTTGGCAAAAAATGATAGTCGTTTGATATTACATGTTTTGTCACACGGCGGTCCTAATGCAACATAATCAGAATTATTAACATAACAACAGGGATCAAATACAACTTACAATCTCAGCCGCGTAAGCGTTTGTGACACCTTTGTTTTAATTTCTAAGTATGTTCATGGGAACGTTTTTTCGATTACGTTGTGTAATGGTACCTAGTTTTAACCATGCATTAAAATGATATCGTAAATAAAATGAAATTAACTTTCCCAATAGTTTGTACCTCTATATATAGATTGCTACATTCAATTTTAAATTCATTTTGTAAAAGTATTATACTTTTACATGGGTACATTAACAAAAAAATCATTTATTAAGTTATTTATAATTTCGAAAACTCATTTTTTCATGACATGAAATTTATATATATATATATATATAAAAAAAACACTACTAGGTACACAGCTCAAATTTGTTTTACAAATATTTATTAACATTAAAAATAAACAATTTTATTTCAACCAGATAACATAATTTTAGGTTCCGTTGTCTTTTATAAAGAAAAACGTAAAAAGAACACTACATACGTACATTAATAAATTTATAATAATAGTGTATCGATATACTCTGGACTTTACTTTATGAGCAAAATATAAACCAAATATAGTTTAAAATGTACAAATTTTATATAAAAAACATATAATAGAAAATTCAACCAGAATTATTGTAAATGTAAATTAATGTGTCTAAATATGAAAAAAATTTCGTAAATTCATAAACAAATGTGGTTAAACAATTACGCGCACAATACATACACACACACACAACACATTTTTGCGTAATTGTGTAAATCGATCCCTATAGTTATTAAATGTGTAACTCGTTAGTCGCATTTTGGGTAGCATTAATGCAAAATAACTACCTATCTGACTATTAGATTATCATACATTTATCACACTTTTTAATTTGCTCGGAAATTCCCGTATAATCCTGTATTTTTGTCGATTAATAGGCCCTTTTTCCATAATTCTTGTACGTACTTTATTTATTCCTAATATTTTGACCTTTAGCTAGCTCTCTTTCTCTCTATTCACTTATATGTTTATTTATTTATTAGATACCGGGAATCGGAGTATTAATTCATTTCATTTATATTTTATTTCGTGATTTTTATCTCGCGGGTACTTTATAAATATGGGCCCCCCATTTATTTGGGTATTATATTACATTTTCGTAACATTCATTTCATTTTATTGGTACATAAACTTTTTTTTTATATCAAGGTAAAATTTACCTTGGGTTGTGCGCACAACCTTGAGGTCTATGTTTTTTAAGTCACTTTAAAAGGACTCCAACAATTGTCACAGAGGAAAACTAAGTTCGCACCATGATTCAACGAAGGATGTGACCTCAATGCACCATTAATAAGCGTAACAAATTTAAGATTTCTCTGGTCCCTAACAGTACTAATATGAGTAAACTCAGTTACATCACTTGTACTGAAGGCGTTGTTCCCTAGTACCCGTTACTCCGATTTCATCGTCCAATCACGGAAACATACCCTGCTCGAGGACTATATGCTATACCAGTGATGAACGTTCCAGTATCTCTCCATCATTTATTTCTGATGGTCATCTTTTTTATTATCTTCGTAAATCTTTGTCTATATCGGATACTTTTATATTCATTCAATCTCATTCCATCTCCTTTCAACTAAGCATATCGGTTTATTAAAATAACCAGAGTTTGAGCCCTAAACATTGGCTAAGATAATATCCGATAGCCTAATTCCTTCATTCCAATAACTAGCAAAATTTTGATATTAAAATTGTATAGTTTGTAATAATATATCTAAACATCACATAAATCATTCTACATATACGACATATATTACAACATTTAAAATCCATACTTATTATATTCCTTTCTTTGCCGTAGTCTGTTTTCAACTTTCACACATCCATACCAAAACCTCAACATTCTTCAAGAGAAAATAAATTAACACCACCATAATTATTCATTGGTTGATCTAGCCGATTACAAAAATAGTTAAGCTAATGTTTTACTGTTACTTTTTACTTAACTAACTTTCTTTTCAGATATAAACACCATGCCAATATATTTGAACACAACCTATACAATATACAATTTCCTTTCTATAATTTAACTTAACACTTTTTTTTCTATCCTTTCTTTTACTTTTTTGTGCAAACAGTTCTTTGTTTCAGTTCCTAAACTAACATAGTAAGATATTATGTTATATAGTAAGGGTTGGCAACCCTACCTATAAAACCTAACGAACATTACAAGCCTAATTTTGTTATACCTTAATTAATTATATGTGTGAAATGTTTTGAATAAATGTTTCTTCTCTTCCTTCAAAGTGAACTAGTGATCAACAAAATCAAACTACTAGTAATTCACACTATTGTTAAAATATATACAATGATTAATATACAACATGATCGATAGTGTACCTGTTAGAAATCTTTTAATTGCTTTTAATACTTCAAAGGCACAAATAATTGTTTTT